CTCAGGACCCCCTATCCTGTGTGTGTGAGCCCGAAACTGCGGTTGAAAAAGTGGAGAGAAAATGGCTTCAACGCACAGGCCCCCCAACAGTTTGCAAAGCTCGGGTTCGAAGTTCTCCTATGGTGCGCAGATGTGTGTTTGCATCCTTAGATTCCAAAGTGTTCTGGCTTCTGTCTTTGTCGACTCTAATTCCTGCGCTTTGGTTTTGTCTTCTATGTTCTATTGCTGTGCGAGAAACTGTTGGTTTATCAGGTTCCCAATCCATAGCTTCTTTTGCTGGCATGCCCTACCTACCTCTGCTTGCACGAAACGGCAACAGGCGACATGTTTGTGAAAGGGCTTGCGTGGTTGAAAACATCATGTTTGAACTTAGCCTAATTATTTCCTTTTCGCGGATGCCTGACAGGCCGACTGTCTGCAGACAAAACGAATGAGTGGTACTGGTGGTTCCTGATTCCTTTAACGCCTTTAACAGGGCTAGTATCGCCCCACATTAGAGTACACTCGGCTGTTCCTTTTGTGGTTCCTAAACTCTGTTGTGCAAGAATAATTGTATATTATTTTGTATTGTATTACATCATATTACACTATATTGTACTATATATGAGGGAACCATTTCTTGCACGGAGTTGGTGAACTACTTCGGCTTCGAGCTGTCGGGTCAGCACCGGTGCCGGGGAGCTGGATCTCAGTTGCTTCCAAGGAACTGCGAAGACTGGATATTATGATTATATCAGTATTAAAGATTGCTACGATCAGTGTTATTAATGCTGTTAGTAAGGCTGGATGAAGTATCGGCGATGTTTCATCCATTCTTCGCAGCTCCTCGCAAAAGCCGGCATATACCCCATTCAAGGCATCAAAAAGACGTGCACCCCCCAACAGCACCATCTCTGCGAGTCTTGCAGCCGATACGCCTTGCTAATACTTATACAGTATACCCAGAGAACCCAATACCCTTTAATTAAGGAATACATCTTAAATCACAATACTCAGGCCCCCAGAATTGAAGGTATATTCCTTAGTTAAGGGGGTATTGGGTTCTCTGGGTGCATACAGATTTCTGCACACAAAGGAACTTGCCGTAATGCCGCAAACCTTTGCCAGCGGGAGTCACACTAGACAGCGTTGATGGGCTGTGCAGCTTCCCTACCACCTTGTGAGGCGCATGAATCACTCCCCAGACAACCCAATACCCCTTCATTAAGGAATATACCGTAAATTATAGGAGCATTAATATTATGATTTAAGGTATATTCCTTAATTAAGGGGTATTGGGTTCTCTGGGTCCGTTTGTGATTGTGCATGCGAGTGTAACGGGAATGCGAGCAGGTCATGGCGAAGCATATCTGCTGCACGGGAGGGGCAGGCACGATTGGCGAAATCCATTGGCACATGAATCCTGTTACATGTCTAACTTCTAACTGTTTAGCGCACTTACTTATGCATGTTTTGGTTCATGTATTTGTAAATTTGTCGCCAACTCACCACTTTACGCAAATCTGCTACCTAGTTGAGGCAAGTCTGATGGGCCAGTTCTGGTCCATCGTAGCAGGACTAGCCGCTCGAATGCGGACTTCGCGACACAGACTTTAACATAGAGCAGCAGTAGGGCTTCAAAAATAGAGGTGCAGAACAGGAAGGCACCAATCAGGAAGGGAGCTGTGAAGCGTTTAGCATGTATCTGCGCAGGAACTGAGCGAACAGCCGAGACAGCAGATCCGAGAATTGCAGCTTTCAGCGGTCACCATACAAGTCAAGGGACACTGGAATAATCATAGCCTGGCCACTTAGGGGTCAGCTTCCGGTGGGCTCGCTGCCGAGCTGGCAAGCAGGCATTTGTTGTATATCGCATAATGTGTGGCTTGCATCCGACGGAGTTTCATGTCTACGTGTGTGGACGTCTTTCATGTGTGATTATGTGTTTACAACCGTATATTGGTATACATAGCTACATATCTACGTAAAATGCAGTAACATTCACGTGAATCGGCAATCCGCACCGAAGAACTGACGTATATTTCCGACTCCGTGTGTGCGTGCATGTAGAGTGCTTGCGGTGAACTTACCCCGTTTTGTGTGCTCGTCTGCTGCAGACGTACAGTTACCCCACAGCAGGCATACAATCCCAGCTCGGTGTTGATGCGCTTCAGGCTACATTGGCTCGCACACGGTTGTGAAGCTTCTGGAAAGTGGGTACAAGGTCTCCATTATGGACAACCTGATCAATGCGAGCGAGAAGGTTCGTGCATGAGTGCCAGCGTGTGCGCAGTTCTTGTCGGCAGAAGTCGTCTGTGACGGTGTTCTCGTTCAGCGCACGTATCTGCGAGGTCGTCCCCAGACTACAAGAACTGACCGGAAAGGAGGCACATGTGCAGCCTAATCTGAAATGCAAGCATAAGGCACGAGTCATAGCATAAGTCGTTGACCTTCGTTGACCAGTGTCAGTATGTCATTCTCTGGTCTGAACTTGCCCGCCGGGACGGGTGAGCATCCTGCATGGTTCGGTGCCAGAGACATGAGACCAGCGAAGTTTTGCTGCCGCAGATCCCATTGTTCAAGATCGACGCATGCGATGCTGCAGCGCCGCGCTCGACTGCTGCAGGTTGCAGGATGTCTACCGCACAGACATCGGTCATCCGTTCATCTTGATAGGAAGTCGTGACTTCATGGAGTGCTGACGTGAGTCTCAGGCTGTTGACAAGCTCTTTTCAGAGCAGAAGTTCGATGGCATCATCCACTTTGCGGGCCTCAAGGTAGATCAATGTCTCAGCGCCACAGTCCCGCATATTCCATTGCTGTCAAGCGGGAACCATGTTTCCTTGCCAGCTGCGGGGACTGAGGGCCGCTCCATCGCCGTGTGTTCTGCCTGGCTCCAGTAGAATATCATTGAGTCTGTAGCTTCCAGTCACGAGGGCAGAGATTTTTCCATCCTGTCTTTCCCACAGCACTACTTAAAGCAGCAGCTGCGATGCCGGTGGACAGGTTTGCATTCACACGCAGCGTCTACCAACTTGAAGCACTGTCTACCCAGATAACTCAGCTGGACGAAGCACAGCGAACCACAGCTGCTGCGCAGCTGCGGGTTCAAGGACTGTAAAGTTTTCTGCGCCAGCTGTGAGGGACGGAGATGGACATCGATTTTTAAAAATTCACGGCGCGGCGGTTATCGGACTTTGTATGTCTCTTCCCGAGTGCCCCCTGCCCAAAATTTCAGGTTTGGGGGACTGTGGTAGCAATAGACAAAGAACTGCACCGGAGCATCTGAATCGCAGTGGTGGTGGGAATGTGGTGTCTTCGTTGGTCATGAGGACTTCGGCAAGACGGGTCAACATGCAGAGAGGCCCCACGATGGGCCGTGAGCCCCAGTGCGAGAGAAACCTGCATGACCATCTCGGCTGGGAGGCATCACACTCTTCATTCTGGTCAGATGAGAAATCGGCTTTGGCTCCTTGCTGCCGTTGTCTCCAGCATTATTCAGGCAGATGCTGTGTTGGCTGTCGATGCCTTCCTTCGCCTCGTGTTTCTCTCGGCACCCTAAACCCTAAACCCTGAACCCTCAACCCGTAAACCCTAAACCCTATATTCATTCCTTGGGTTGCAGGTGGCGAGTTCTGAGCTCCTGGCCCTGTCAGCGAGCTCCTCTTCACCAGGCCGGCTTAGTAGGGTTTTTGGGGGGGTTCCTTACTACAAGTCTAGTATAACATACCCCATTCCCCATTCTAACTACTAAGGCCCCCTGAGTGAGTATAACATACCCCATACCCTATTCTAATTACTAAGGCCATTAAGGTGAGCTCCCCTTCACCAGGCCGGCTTGGCTCATTGCTTTGTAGGTGTGTCGGTCAGTCCGTCGGTCAAGTATGCGTGTGTGGAAATATATATATATATATANNTATATATATATACACACATACATTCAGCTCTTAAGCATTAATATCATCAGATACTTAAGATATATGTATATATGTATATGGAGATATTGAATAGATAATATATATATATATATATATTTATATATATATATATACATATCGCTCGAGTTATAACAAAACACACACTCTTTCTACAATGTGACATATACTATGTGTTGTGAGATGGCGAGGCCAATTGGATGTCTTATTCGGTTCGGCGGCCGTCACTGCCGGAGCGGCAGGAGCATCGCAGGCACACGCCTAGAACATACTTGTTATCTGGCATCCTAACTTTTGAGCATGTCCTCCCCTTGTCCAGACAAGTTGCGGCGTCCTCAATGCGATGTGCTCAGTTCAGAAGATCTGGTCTTAGGGATCTGCGTGGCAGCAAGCGAAGGGCTTCAACTGCGCCCCCCCGAGGCTTGGATAGTCACGGTGACGGAGCTGGGCGGAACTTCCACCGAAGTTGATGTGGCTGCTTCAGTTCAGACTCCTGGTAGACATGTAAGTCGTAAGCCATCTGTCACGCGCTTGTACCAGGTCGGGGCAAATTGCAATCTTCCAACACCTTCTCTCACAGGCTCGCGCCGAAGACTTCCTCAGACAAAGGGTCTCCGAAGGTGTTGCCCAGAAGCGGAAGACCATGAGACCATGACCAGGTCACACCTGCCAACTTGGTCTGCAAAGCAACACGGACTACACAGTGGAGGCTCGGCCCGGGACTTTGCAAGAGCAGCGAGGCCATGTCATGTGAGGCCAAACCTTTGCTCCTAAATTCCAGCCTTAAGGCGATGTGGGAGACGGTAGTTTGGACTCTCCTAGGTCGTAAGGATTCGAGTTGTACATGCCAATCGACATGACTGGCTGAGCATGTGTCGTCTCTTTTCCTTGTGGGAGAGGTGATGGAGGAGTGCAACGAGACAGAGGCGTGCCAGATGCCTGCATGTTCCGTCGGTTCGTATTGTTGATGGACAAAATTCTGCATGACCCAAGTATAGTATAGTACCATAAGCCCCATAGTTTAGGTATATAGGGTCATGCAGGATTTTGTCCATCAACCGTAAGACGCTATCGGGTATGCAGCCATGGTACGAAGGCCAGAAACAGTTCCAGCTCTTCGGTTCGCACTCTGCCGCAGCTCCGTGGTTGCAAGGTTTCTCTCAAAGCTAGCTTTGTGACGCAATCTGGGCTACGCTAGCCTGCCTTGCGGCCTTGCTGTCTCCCAACGAATGTCTGACGATTGGCAGATTATTCCAAGGCTGAGCCGGCTAGAAGATTTATGTCGTTGCAGACTGCGCCGCCTTCCTTACCTGCAGACGCTTGCTGAGGCCAGCATCGGCCCCGAATTTGGTGATCGCGGATGTCAGCGATATCCTCAGAAGAGTCGGAGTTGCGACTGAAGGGCTGGAGTGATACAGCGGGATGTGTGTCGAATCGCAAGGTAGGACATCGCTGTCCATCGAATGGTCCTCCGGCGGGGACGGAGACTGCATCTTCCAGAGCTGGGAGGCAATCTGTGAGCTCTCACGTTTCATTCTGACACGGAGTCCCCATGGCCAGCCGCAAGTCGACTCCTCAAAAGGGGCCTCTAGGTTAGCCTGATGCACTCAAGGCAGAGTGGCGTCCATTCGGGGGAAGCTGGATGCTGGCAGAGAACGAGACGGGCACGTCGGAGCTCCTGACGGGCTTGCAGGCGCTAGCGTGCTTCACGGGGTTTGTTTGCAGCTGCTGGCGCTTCAGCCAACCTTTGCATGGTCCGCATGGCCATCGGACTGCAGGAAAACACAGCGTACGAGTTCAGAGTGCGGCAGTTGTGCAGTGTCGGGACCTCGCACATCCCCGGACTACCGAACATACAGCTTTCTCCCCTTGCGACCTAAGGACAGCAGCTTGAACTCTGCCTATGCAGACTTTCCAGAGTCCCTCCTCACACTTCCTGGCATCTTCAGCGCGGCAGCCCCAGCTGAGATCACGGCAGAAGGATCGTAGAGTCCAGCTGTGCTGCTGTCCTCGTGATAGTGTCCTAGTTGCCGGCACTGGGAATGGTACCCAAAAGACTGATGGCATCATATGGATGATAACCATCATCTTCAAAGTAAAGCAATACCTATCATGCCAATACAGGCGACAACATGCCCCTGCAGAGGTCTTCGTGGGAACCAGCACGGACACGCGAGTCATTCAGCTGAGTTCGAGGCCCAGAAGCGGAACGGCTGCGACGGTCCAATTTCTGCGGGTTGTTCGTTGACGGAAACTGGAACCATGCCATGCTCAATCAAACTTGATTTGCTCAGGTTACGGCCCGTCGCGCTGCCGTGTGCTGAAGCAGTGTTGTGGAGATCAGTTCACCGTCCCGAGCACAGCTCCTGATGGAAGAAGAGAAAGCCAAGAATATTTCCAACAACTGTGCGTGCTGAAGGTCTGCCACAGCGGAGAAGCCAGAAAGACGGTCGTTTGTCTGCAGCCAGCTAGTGCGGATCATGCGCTTAGCTCCTTTCTTGTTTCGGTGACGGCAGTGCGCCTCTGAAGCCACGAGCAGGTGACCTTGAGCCGCATGGATGTGATGGGTGGCTGGGGTCAGCCTCTCTGGTCCGATCCCTCAGATACTATGTGCGATAGTAAGACTAATCATAATGGTCATAGGAATAATGAAAATGATATGTTTATCATTATGTATCAATATATATATATATATATATATATATTTTCATACACATATCATTGCTGTTAGATGACTATTGTCAACCTAAGAATCGCTCAAAGCCTTGGGGGGGTGCCTTAAAGTGAGGCTGCAGTGCACTGCCCAGTCTGTGGCGGACTACACGACCTTTACGGAGGCCGGGCTCAAGGGTCAGAGAGCGAGAGAGAGAGTTTCCCCGAAAACTGATGATAATAATGCTAGTAGTGCTAGTACTAGGAGTAGTAGTAGTAGTAGTAGTAGTAGTAGTAGTAGCAGCAGTACTAATAAATTTCATCTTGATGATGATGACGATGATGGTGATGAGATTGAGGATGTAGAGGGTGATGACGGTGATGATGACGCAGAGCATGCCGAAGAGGAGTGTGTTGTGGCCATGGTAGTCATGGTGAGGGCATGATGATGGTGCTCATGGTGAAGACAATGGTGATCATGTTGTTGTTGATGATGCGGCTAATGCTTGCTCTTAGCGTCTTATCCAGCTTGTTTTCTGGCTGCTGCTGCTTTGCCGTTGATGCTGTTGTCGTTGCCGCTGCCTGCAGCTGCCCTACTCTTCCTCCCTCGTCGTCGTCGTTGTTAAGGTCCTCTTATTCCTTGCTTGTCTTGTCGCGGTTTTATCATCGCTCCACCGTCGCAGGTTCAGGCCCCCGCTCCGTTGTGGCTGCAGCTACACGAAGCAACGGCAACGACAATGAAGGCAAAGTACCGCTTGGGCACGGGCCGCAGTTGCACCGCGCTGCTTTCTGAGAGTTCATTTTCTTGGTGATGCAGATGCGAAGTTTCTGGCAAGGCTACATCATCGATGAGACGGCTACCTGTGACTGCGCGACCTTGCACCGACCCCAGGCTGGATATACAGGGACGTAGTGTGCTGCGACATTGTTCCCAGGTCTTTGGAGCTCCGGGCCGATGATTCGGATGTCTGGAACTTCTTCCCGGGACGGGATGACAGCTGCACAATCACAGGCTGACCAGGGAAGCTTTGTTCTGGGGACAAAACTCGGTGCCGGGGCTCCTGATCAACAGCTTGGTGGAACCGACTCTGGCATTTGGCTCGAATGTCACTTGAGCTAACTTTTGGGGCCGAGCAGCCTTCTATTCGGTTCTGCCATGGGGGTCTCTAAAAGCACAGCTTTCAGCGGAGATTGTTGCCAGGCAGTGTCTGTAGATGTAGGGCTTTCCGACTTGGGGTGCAGAGAGTTGATTAGCTTCGGTGCCAAGGTGTATAATTACCATGCACTGCAAGGCAGACAGCCACTCTAAAACTTCAAGACCGGGCTTCGCCGCCCTCGTGCAATCGTGTGCAAGTCAATTTTCCCAGCCATAATCTTGGTCCGTTACGCTTGCAGCGATGTCTGCCAGGTGCTCGGTCCATTTCGCCTTGGCTTTGTTTGTCATGTTTCGCACGGTCGCGGTTTGTTCTACTAGCACTATGTTCTGGCGGAGGGTTTTACTTCGTGCGACGCCGGGTCCTAAGGTCACCACTTATGATCTTTGGCTGCATTGAAGGAAGAGTAGACCTAGATCCAGAGCGAGAGAAGTCAGCAAACCACCGAGGACAGCTCCTTCAGTTACCGTCAAGACCAGGTGGCCAAACTCGGAGATCGGGCCAGGCCTTGGATCTGAAAACACGGGGTGTTGAGGAGTAGCACGCACATAAGAACGACTTCGGAGTCAAGGGCGGAATAGTTGCTTGATTTGCCAGTCTTCGCATCAGATTAGGGTGGCAGAATCCAGCAATCCAACGAAGTCCTTCGGGACAATTTCGACGCCTTTCAGAGATCCGATTAGATCGTGGTCAGGCCCGAGACGACGGAGGAAGATCGGCGACTCTTGGTCTCAGATCAGAGCATTCTTTTTCTTCTTGCTGATTTTCTTGTGAGGTTTCGAGTTTTGTCTTTTGACAGGTGATGTATCGCTGTCACTCCTGTTGTCCGTTGCGTTCTTATCAAGCATCTTCTGTTTGTTGCTGTTCGGAGTGGTTTCACGTTGCTAAGAACAGGAAGAGGGTTCTTGCATCACAATATGTTCTATCGCTGCTACAACAAGCATTCGCCTTGTCTGCTATGGTTGTCAATTTCCTGACTACTCTCATCACTGCCTCTCTTGCTGTTGTCATTTTTTACTATGTTATTTCAACTTTCCCACTACCTCCACTACCAGTGGCGCAGCCTTTGCTGCTACTGCTGCTGCTGCCGCTACCGCCACTGCTGCTTTTACTGCTGCTGCTGCTGCTGCTGCTGCTGCTACTGTTTTTG